CATTAGTCAATTAAATGTTAGATTATTATCAATTTTTACAAAGTTAATTGAGAATTTTATCTTATATTGATGTGCCCAATATGTATTAATTGTATAGTTAAGTTTTTTTATGTATAATCTTATTTTTGCTTCGTCCAATAGAGTCCCGTGCCCAATATTGAACTTTTACGGACCGATGAAGAAGAAAATCGTGCAAAGGCAAGAGGGAAATAAATTTAATTTAAATCAAATATAGAATACGAACGAGATCAGAATAAACCACATACGCACCTAAAAACAGCAAGGCCCCGGGCTAGGATAAAATTACAATGGAGCTTTAGAAAGCGGGTGAAAAACCAGTACTTGAAGTCCTTCTGAAGCTCTTCAACTCCATCCTCAATGGTGACACTACTCCAGAGGCGCGGAGCAGAGGTACGGTGGTCTTGTTCTTCACGAAAGACAACAACGCTCTCTTGAAGAACTACAGATCAATTTCAATTATGAGCTGAGTCTACGTAGTGTTTTAGACCCACTACACACTACATACGGAATTCCGTTTCAGGATTCCGGAACATATGTCATCCCACACACGTATGTGTGAATCCCGTTTTGTCCGCAAAATTTCGTACGGTAAAATTACCATGGGTCTGTGACTGTAAGACATGCAGGAAGTGGATGGATGGTCGCAGTGGCCATTCTGACATTCTTTGGGGGAGGCCCATGTTCAGCAGTGGACTTGGACAGTGGAAGTAAAGTTACAGCCTATATACGTCCCACGCGTGGGCACAGGCCTGCGCTCATTTCTGAGAGGGTTTTAGGGCAAGGAATTTTCCGCCGCGCTGCCTAAATACGTGGTGGCGAACTTCACATGTCTTCGAAATATTTTTTTCTTATTTCTCTGACATGCAGGTTTCCTCACGATATTTTCCTTCACCGCCGAGCACGTGGTAAATCAGTACTTAAAATTGCAATTAACAATTTCATTGGTGCCGGCGGGGATCGAACTCGGTTTGCTCGCGCACTGTGAAATTTACAGCGAGTGCTAACCATCTGAGCTACCGCCGCTTACAGCCCTTCACGGACTTATGAAGGGCTGTAATGAAATATGGAAGGCGTGACTTTCGAACATTGATACGCACTCAAGGTGACTGCCAGGTCTGGCCGTTTGTTGCGCACAGCGGACCCAGTCCGTCGCACTAAACAATCTTGTCTGGCTCCAACTAAATTCGGCTATGCGTTAGCACTATAAAAGTCGTCCCCACTGTATTTTTAACGAGTATCGCGGCGAGCAACGACGAGGACACACGTCTTCTTCATATCGTCGGTTTATATATTACCTTTGCTTTGGCAAGTTGGCTCCGAATACGGAACGTGCCAGAGCCCAAGCGGCAATTGGTGCAATCATCTTGTTGAGCGTAAACAAACGAGTGAGTATGATTCTCTTTATGTAACTTCGGCCTTCTGTGCACTGCCGGCCGGCAAAGTGGAATTTTCTTTTTTTTTACCGATCAACTTGACTAATCAATCATATACGTACACAGTAATAAGTGCAGATTGAACAAACACACAATAATATCTTATTTGCATATTTTAACCGTGGGGTTTGACTTAGAAACTAGTCGGAGTAATAAAATTTTACAAATAATGTAGAGTTGTTGTGTTGTGAGGCATACAAATAAGTTAGTTGCGACTTTAAAAATAAACTTTAACAAAGTTGTCTAACGGGATGCCATACAAAACAAGTTACGTAAGATACCTATGTACCTATTTATTAACAAACTAAAGACAAAACATACGTGTAGTTTTTATAGATTACACACAATGATTATTTGTAATTTGTAATTGAAAATTTTAACAATAATACTATGTTTTAATATTAAGTACATATAACATGCACCTAGGGATATGGGAATAACCTTTTATTATTAATCAGATTATAAAGAACCAGTTACAGAAAAAAGTTCAGGGAGCTAAAAGCGTCTAAAAAATTAATGCAATAGACAATCGCAAACCTACAAAAGCGGATTGCGATGAAGTCTTTGGAGGAGGCAATTTCAACAGTTTATTGGATTTTAAAAGATTAAAAAATAGAAGATTAAGTATTTACAAAATGGTAAAAACTTTAAAAAATCTTTGCTCACTTTTCTAACCCTAATTAAATAATATAAAATAAATTAATAAGAAGATTTTAGCTAAACGTCATGAAATCGACATAAATTTGCATTCGGTCAATCTTATACATATAGGCATTGAGTTATAGATATATAAATCAATGCATACAGGTATTCGTGGTTTCTTAAACTGGTGTTTTCGCAAATTTTCGCAACATGCAATTAAAGATAATTCTGTATAGTTTTGTGTTTATTGATAAAAACCTATTATTTATGATGTGTATTAAATACATAAATTAAAAGTCCTTAGCGTAGTATAATCGCAGCGGTACCACAGCTTACGAGTCAGATTTACTTTATAGAATAGGAAATTAAGTTTCATTTCAGGGAATTGGACTCCATTTTAGAAAATAATGATAATTACATATAAATAAAATAAAATTAAAATTATTACCTTAAATTGAGCCTAGGGTGTTAATTGTATGCCATTAAGACATAAATATCCATTTTTACAATTTTTGTCTGTCTGTCTGTCAGCGGATCTTTGGAATCGCTAAACCGACTATGTATAATGAAACTTAACGAACAAGTAGAAAGCATTGCCAGGAGTCATCTAGCTAGATTAAAACAGAAAAACTTGGAGATTTTTTCAGAATTAACGAAATGTAAGACTAAATAACGGCACATTTATAGATCCTACTCAGACAAAACCGGGGCCGGTCGCTAGTCTGAAATAATAATAATGTTAAATAAGCAATAATTTAATACTGTCGAGTTTGACGTTTTATTAAGTATTTTGTTATAATATGGTGTTTACATTATTATTTATTGTACTCTTTGTATGTTGCTCTCTCAACGCACCTACGATTGTAGTTGATGTGGACTTCACTGTTGTTCAGTTGTTGGACTAAAGTCTGTTGTTTTCACTAGTTTCGTCTTACCACTGCGTGCTGACGATCTCTAAATGTATACTTAATTCTCTCTTATTGATCGTTAAGAGTAATTGATACAACCAAAACTAATCTAACTTGTATGTTAAGTCAATGTAAAGCCACATCCTTGGTTTTTCTTGCTTAATTGTTGTAATTGACTGCCTCTCTACGTATCAATCGACAGCCTGATCTCTAAGTTACAGCCTATATATACGTCCCGCTGCTGGGTATAAGATTCCTCTCATTTTTGAGAGAGTTTTATGCCATGGAAGTGTCCGCCGCGCTGGCACTCCTATTTGAATAGAAATTTGGCATAATATATGGATAATCCTTGTTTGACGTAGACATCCACTAAGAAAGGATTTTCAAAATTTAATTCCTAAGGGGGTGTATAGGGAGTTACGGCTTGTTTTACATAAATAAATACATGCAGGTCAAGTTGGGAAATGTCATATAATAAGAATATAAAAACAACTCGCCTTTTTGCTTCGTAGTCGGATACAATTAAAGGATGCGAGAGTAAGGGATTATATGTACAGAACTTTTTGTTGAAAGCTCCACTTAAATTTTTCTACATGTCTACATAATATGTATCCATACAGCCCTACTGCCCAGCTCCATAATATGTAGTGAGTTGGTATAATATATTTTTAATCACACTCATACGTCACACTGGTATCACTTTTTAGTGAACGTACCAGTGTGATGCCCCTTCAGACAGACATACAGACAATCTTTCCGGAATTGTTGTACGAGGATGAACTGATGAGTTTGGTACAAATCATAGAAAACCAATTATTAATTAGGTACAAAAAAAATTCTCAACATAATCTCTATTGAGCTCGAGACATTGGTTCAGCGAGATTCCAGTTACCAGTTTTTATTCCCTCAGATAAGTACATTTGAGCACAATACTCGATTATGGAACATATTATTAGATTATTCTTATTCGTATAACGAGATATAGGTTAACTCGTTATGTCGTTTTAATACTTTAGTACCCGGATGACCGAGCTTTGCTCGGTTTTTTTAAGTTACATTTATATACAAATTACATGAATAATAGTTTTTGATCTTATTGACATAATAGAAAAAACTGAACTGGTTATTTGAATAAAAATCTTGTGTGCAATTAGTTTAATTAAAATTTTCGTATTTTTAAATTTTCTCACAAAAGAAGGGAACTTGAAAAAAACAAAAAAATGTCGGACCCAAGACGGGACGTGAACCACGGAACTCCGATATCACTCCCGAACAACATCCCATCTAAGCTATTACGATCGTTGGTAACTTGTCAAAATTTACCTTCTTATATTGTAGCAGTTTTTTTATTGCCTGAAAACACGGACCAAAGGACATTTTCTAAAAATAAATCCTAGCTAGATCGATTTATTGCCCCCGAAACTCCCTGGACACTAAATTTTATGAAAATTGTTGGAGTTTCCGAGATCCCGATTATATATATATATACAAGAATTGCTCGTTTAAAGGTATAGGATTAATTGTTTTTATTATTATTTGTAACATATTATTTGTTCACATTTATTTTTAAACTGATATTACACAATTTAGGTCCAAGGACACATCTTAGGTATAATTCGCGATTCATTTGTCATAACTCATAAGTGAAGATACACAAATATATTTAATGATAACTTATCACATTTGAACTTTAAGGTTCACCATCGTGTTTATTTTCAAATCTTTATTATACTCCGTGATAATGATACCACCAATGATGTAACGGAATCTTTTAATGTAATTTTCACCAACTTGTAGACCGACTTGAAAATTTGCAATAAAATAATTTAATAACCTGATATCCTGGTGATGCTGACCAGAATAAAATAAAACAATTATCGGGGTAATTACAGCTCATGAAGATTTTTAAACTCTTTTTAGGTGCAACATGATGGCTCAGGGATTGAAAATGTTGATTTGCCTGAGCGTTATTGTGGCCACTGCATCTTCTCACGCTTTGCCTACTCAAGAAACGTTAGTGATAACTAAATCAGATGACGGCGTAAGTATTGTTCGTTTTACTGATTATGAACTTAAAATTCTATACTTTTTTGAATTTATAATGTCACCTAACGCTATTTAAGTGCAAAGTGTCGAGCATTAGGCTACAGTATATTACAGATCGACTTTGTTGTGGTCTCCCAAAGCTTATTCCTGTCACTATATGGGTCGAAAGTTCGAACTCACTTGTATACTTTATAATACAGATAATTGGTTTTTGGTTTGTGTATTATTGTTGCTTTCGCTACCCTAAATGTGCATCAAATCCTTACTACGATCATATCCCGTAAGCTCTACATCGCATCTGGGAAGGCGGCGAATAGCAAGTGTCGTTTTCTGGTTGTTAATAGAGACTGTCACAAAGTATCCGCCAGAACAAAGAACATCGATATCGTTACAAAAAATGTCTTTAAATATACTTTAAAAATACAGTCTGGTGAGATGTTTAATTCTCAATGCACTTCAACTCTGAAGATGTTTTTAATTTTGTTTAATTTTGTTTTTAATTTAAAAGAAAAAAAAATTAACTGTATAGTACCTACTGTCTTTTACATGTAGGACATAAGCAATACAATTTCACCGAGATCATTTATCCGATTATGCTGTATTTATCTAACACAATATAACGATTATTGAAGTCATTTATGTTTTTCAATAACAATTTTTTTGAATAAGAAATTTGGATAGAAGTTCCATCATTAAGTTCACGTTCACACATGGGTTTTCCGACAAGATTTTATTATTATTATATTAACAATAAGGGAACCCTACAACCATTCTTCTTGTAAGTAAAGTGATCATATTACTTTATTTTAAAAAATGTGTTAAAATATATATAAAGATTAAACAACGGGCTGCGAGGTATTCCATTAGACCTTGTAGTCTCGATACAATATGTAATTAGCCGCAAGTATCGCATAGTACGAACTGGAGCGGTAACATCAGATCATATTATTTTGCACGTGGCAAAGCCATGCTACAGCTATATTATGGTTGTAGCACGAATGGGTTCGCTCGACCAAGGAAGGATACGCGCTCGCAGAATACCAGCGAGAAATAGCAGCTTAATGCTAATGTCTTACGTAGAGAACCGGACTCTTTTTACTAGAAACGAAGCATTCTTAGTCCTCAGGGGTGACAACGCATTTGCATTTTAATTCCTAATCTGTATAATATAATAGATGTAATGTTTATTATGGACCACAGAACAAAGATGATTGTGTGCTCGTTTGTCACCTTTATTCTATAAAAATATAATATAAAAGTAAACTGATTTAATTATATAAAGTTATAACTAATATAAGTTGTATAATAATTAAAATATTAAAATGTAGGTCAATAATATGTGAAATAATATTGTATACAGGGGACAGCGTCAGACGCTTCGTCCACTGTGGTGACGACGGAGGAGCCTAATGCGCCCATCAAATTAACGGAAATGAAGGTTCGGTCCGAAATCACTATGCGGTACGCGCATACTGCGATCGTGACCCACGTCAACAACCCCGCTAAGCGGTCACAAGAAGCCACCTTCAGAGTACTGCTGCCAGAAACCGCTTTCATCAGCGGATTTGTTATGTACGTGTCTATTTTAGCATTACATTTACATGCACCCTTAGTTCTTCGTCAGTTACAATACATCTAATCTTCATTCTTCGTACTTCCTCGTCATTCTTTCAATTGTAATCAATAGTCTTATTGTCACCTTCACTTCTTATAAAAATAGAAGCGGACAGACACGTGGTTCTATCCGCGTGGAATCTTTAGACCAAAACAGAAAGACAGACGGAGCGCTCGAACATTTCAAGTTGCGCCGAAACCAAGCCAAAACAACGCTTAATTTGGTGTAAAAATACAAGAGCGTTTGAAGGCGGTTCATTCTCCCACGATGAGAAGTCTCAAATCCTATATATCCAGGATATAGACATCTACGTGTCAAATCGCATCTAAATCCAATCTGTCTGGATTTATCAATAATATAAATTATTAAAAACTATTTACACAATCTTTCACTAAAAGATATAATATTAGTAATATGTAGATTTCAAAAGTATCGTTCTACAATAGGTGAGCTAATTTTGTTCTTTTATATTTGAAGAAAAATTCAGAAGAATCAGACCTGGAAGCCTGGAACCGCGATTATTCAATAAAATAATTGTTTTAAAGAATTCCTTTGCAACTACATCTTTAATAACACATTTCATTAATGATGTTTAAAATTTTCAGGATTTTAGATGGAAAACCATATAAAGCGTACGTGAAAGAGAAAGAAGAAGCTAAAAACATTTATAATCAAGCCGTCTCGCAAGGTTTCGGAGCCGCTCATGTTGCTGCCAAGTAATTAATATATTTTTGAAAATTCGCAAACAAAAGTTGTGCTTGTCTAGTTCCATAAAAATACTAATACACCTTTATGTTTGCTTTTCGTTTATTTTTTTGTAACTTGTAGTTCTCGAAAACTTTAGTTGTAGATTGATTTGTTTAAAAAGTATGTCTTCTGTTTTTAAGGGCTCGCGATTCGAATATATTCACAGTTTCGGTAAACGTAGAACCAAACTCAGAAGCAGTGTTTAATCTGACGTACGAGGAACTATTGACCCGCCGCAATGGTGTATACAACCACGCCGTGAATTTGCACCCTGGTGCCCTGGTACCTAAGCTGACCGTCACCGTTCACATCAAGGAGACGCAGAAAATAACTGTACTGAGGGTGCCGGAGGTTCGCACTGGCAACGAAATTGATGCTACCGAGGAAGATGCTCGTAAGTATATTTATATAAAAGGTGGAGGTAAGTTTTTAGTATTTCGTGGTGATAAAGCTTTTTGAACAATTTCGACTAAAGCAGTATCTTTCAAATGAAGTAAGAGCTTTTAAGTTGTGATGGACGACGGATGTTGGTATATACGTGGTAGAGCCATGCTGCAGTTATATTAGTAATATCGTTGCAGCACGAGTGGGTCGGCTCGACCGGGGAGGGACCACGCTCTCACAGAATACCGGCGTCAAATAGTAGCTTAATGCTGCTGTGTTTCGTATGGTGAGTCTAGAAAACCGGAGACCCTTTTTACTGGAAACGAGACATTCCATCTTAGTCCTCACGGGTGACAACGCATCTGCATTTTGATTCGTAATTGAGGATAGATGTAGATGTCTATGGGCCACAGTAACCACTTACCATCAGGTGGACTGTGTGCTCGTTTGTCACCCTATCCTATATAAAAAAAACATTTGAACAAAGTAAAATCTATAGCTTTTTATTGTTAATTGTAAATAATATTAGGGTTACTAATTTTACCAATTTACTTTACTAATTAAGTCGCTGGGGGCTAATTTTTAAGAATATTAATGATAGTCTGTAAATGTAAATCAATAAATACCTACTGGGAAACTTTTCTTATAATGAGAAATAAATAATATTGTGTCATAAAATATGTAAGTATTTAAAATGATTGTGGTCAGAAGTCAAATATTTATTTTTGAAATTCGACTTACAAACAAAACTAACCGACAAGGAATTAACCTGTTGGGCAACTTTATAGCTTGGTCGAGTCGATGACATCTATTACTATAGGTCATTGAAACGTAACATCTCGAAATATTAATGGTCTGACTGATCCTGTCCTTCGGCATTAGCCTTGTTATATTACAAATAATCTTGATGTTGGTGTGTGTGCAAATGAGAACTTCGTTTTATCGTCTACTCAGCAAATCGGATTTTTGATTAGTCATAAATGATACAAAAATTTAATTAGTAGATATATATTAGTATCTTCCGCTTCTTTATTAGCCTGGCGGGGGGGGCGGTAGTATGTAGGATTTGCCTTTTTGATTGATTGTCAGGCGTGGGCGTAGCAGGTGCATTGGCGATCGCACTACTAAACGTCTCACAGTCTGTATCAATAAGCTGTATTTATCAGCAAATCTGCTACAATTTGCAGTAATATCAAATGTATATTTTATAAGCGAGGCGGCAGACTCTGATGCGGCAAATCAATTTTTTTCTGTTTATCGTCCATTTTAAGAAAAAAGACAGACAGAAATAATTAACATTTTTCCTTTATGTGAAGTATCGATATTTTTTTTTTTTTGTAAACTGGTTACCGATATGATGCATCTCAAACTGTAGCAAGTTTGTTTTTTACTTACATTGCTTCAACCATAACAATATAGCTGCAGCGTAGCTCTAAAACGTGTGAAATACATAATGTTAAAAGCTGGATTCTGATTTTTTTGTCAACTATGACCGTGTCTGCTTGTGAAACGTATTGATACCTATATTATATACTCTATGTCTGTATATTTCGTAAATCGTCTCCAGACCCATTTCATTTCATGTTTATTAAATGCATTATGAATTATACATTTTATTCAATTTATTTTTTGATTGTAGAGAATCCGAATGCAGTAATTGAGCGAGATGCTAAAAACCGTGAGGCCACTATAACATTCACACCAGATCTTGAGGAACAGAAGAGATTGATACAAATTTATAAAGTACGTATAATTTTTTTATATAATTTAAAACTTTCTGGCGAAGTTATGTGTTCATGTTAAAAATATAGCTAAATTGTGAAGGTCGGGGTAAAGATGATGAAACTGATGATAATGGCGATGAAGCGACCAAGGTCGAGACACTAGGACACTTATTATAAACCAACAAAGACAAATAGTCTGTACAATTTATATTAAAAATTTAAATATTAAGATTTTTAGCCATTTTTGTAATAACCTTATATTTTTTACGTCCGTCCTTACGACGTTAATAAAGCATACGATAAAACACTGAAATCTCTACGACACGGCATTGCAAATTCAGTAAAAGTTAAAATTGCATTTTTTGTAAAGAATTGCCAGCATCTGAAACGAAATGGTAGAATGCGCTTAAAACATCATAATTTTGACGATAAATATAATTTCATGTAATTAAAATATAAAGTCGCAAATATTGTAATAACACTTACTCGTATTTTATTTTAGGAAAAGTCAAGAGAACACTATGTGGATAGATATCGATTCGATGATCAAAACCAAACACCTCAAGATGGAGTGTTGGGACAGTTCGTGGTGCAATATGATGTTGACCATTCCAAAAGCAGCGACATCTTGGTATGTTCCTGATCTTTGTTACTGATTAGTATGATTTTCTTGGTAGGTAACTACTTTACATAGGACACAGTTTATATTAAGTCATAAAAATAAGACATTTCCCTGATGAGATCTATCTACAGTCGCATTTTGAAACATTACTAGGCTGCACTAAAAGTATCAGGAATGGAATATTTCTACTGTTCCTGTCATAATAAAATCTTTTTAATTGAAAACTCCTTGGTTTTAAAAATCGAATACCATTTATTTATTTAAAAAAAAAGATTCTCGGTCTTGTCAAAAGGTTTTGTCAAACTTGTTTAGTCGTTGAGAAAATGGAATTGACTCGAGAAAATTCAAGAGCGATGATTTATTATGACTTTCGAAGTGGTTTAACACAAAAACACTGTGTTGACCGGATGATTTCTGCATTTGGTGATGAAGCCCCATCCAAAACCACAATTTATCGCTGGTTTGCTGAATTTCAACGTGGACGTGTCAAGCTCAGTGATGATCCCCGTCAAGGTCGTCCAAAAACTGCAGTCACCCAAGAAAACGTTAATGCTGTGCGTTGGCAGATTGAGGAAGATTGACATGTGACAACCGCGAAATTCAGGCAACTTTAGACATTGGCATGAGTCAAATATATAATAATCTTGCATGAACAATTAGGTGTAAAAAAGTTGTTTCCCCGATGGATACCGCATTCGCTCTGTGAAGAGCAAAAAGCGGCTCGCGTTACTTGGTGCGTCAGAACTCTCGAAAGATTCCACGCAGGATCCTCAAATGATGTATACAACATCGTATCAGCTGACGAATCCTGGATATATGCGTAAGAACCCGAAATAAAAAACCAGTCTCGAGTTTGGGTGTCCGAAAATGAGTTAAAGCCAACAAAAAATGTTCGTTCACGGAGTGTTGCAAAAAAAATGGTGGCCACGTTTGTCTCCAAAATCGGTCATGTTACGACTATTCCTCTTGAGGGGCAAAGAACGGTTAATGCAGAATGGTATGCTAGCATTTGTTTGCCACAGGTCGTTTCTGAACTCTGTAAAGAGAACTGCAACCGCCGCATCATCCTCCATCACGACAATGCGAGTTCTCACACCGCACACAGAACAAAAGAGTTTTTAGAGCAAGAAAACATAGAATTATTAGACCATCCGCCGTACAGCCCCGACCTAAGCCCTAATGGTTTCTATACTTTCCCTAAAATAAAGAATAAATTGCGTGGACAGAGATTTTCATCACCTGAAGAAGCTGTGGACGCCTACAAAACGGCCATTTGGAGACCCCAACTTCCGAATGGAATGGTTGCTTCAATGATTGGTTCCATCGTATGGAAAAATGTGTCAAATTTCTTATTAAATACTTCGAAAAGCAATAAATACATTTTTAAATAGTAATGTTGTGTCACTTCCTTGATTCCCGAAATTTTCAGTGCCGCCCTCGTAGGTTAGGTACCGTCAAACCGTCCAATTTTGCCAACGCAAATTTAAAAACTACTATATAATTTAGGTTGATTTGCTTTGTTTTAAATAAATGTAGACTATATTTCTGTCACCAATGGGAATGGTAAACCAGCAAAGGTAAGGCTTTGATGACACTCAGTTGCTTGTCAGGATCAGTCAAAGTGCACGTCTGTTTTGAAGCGGGTCAATTTAAGCCTCAGTGTTTCTTGGTGTGCTTCTCAATGGCGAAGACAGAGGTGAGTTTATCTTGTTACATGGTCTAGAAAGGGGTTTCTAGAAACTTTTACTTGTGTATTCTTTCCTCTCAGTATTTTAAATAGAGAATGATGACAGTGGGCAAAATAAGCCGCATAAGTTGCGTCTCCCGGTTGTCAATTTTGCTCATCCAAAAAAGTGTACAAGGGTTGTCATCCTCTTATTACCCGACAGGCTAAGGAGAAGAGATATGTTTGTGAGCTATGTTACCTCCTGTAGCTTAACCAGCTTGGCGATTTTAGTGTGTGAGGTGTCATTTTTGCCTCAATGTTCGGAATGTCTACATGTTGGCTACGTGCTGTTGTTCATATTAATGTGAAAATTGAAAAAAAGAAAATTCAGCGCCTTTTACATGCAGTTTGGTTCAAATTAATTACACTTGTTTTACATAATAGATTTAACTCTTTATATTGGTCTTGCGCAAATAAGTACATATTATCTATTTTAAATTTATTTATTATCTATTTTGAGGGTAACGTTAATCGAAGCTTTTTTTTAATAATTATTTTTTATATGAACAAATCAACTACCTCAGGGATAGTTTGCAAATAATAAAATAAAATATAACCAATTTCTTTATTCACTTTTTCCTAAAAGGGAAGGGCAACAAAAATCATTATGATTATGTGGATGTATATTATTATGATTTTGGTTTGCTTTTTAAATTCTTGTTTTATTTTGGCACTTATCAAAATGTTTTGTTTAAAAAGAGGTATATTTAATTTAATTTACTTTAACTTTTCCGATTTTTCAAAAATGTTTTTTCCTATGTAGGTATTTGTTTTATTTGTACATTTATTTTCAAAAAAAAAAACAATCCAAAACCGCAAATCAAGAAGAAGACTAGGTACACATGTTTTGATTTCTTTTTCTATAATATTACGAAAAAATATACCTACCTTAAAAATAGCGCCTAATGTTTTAGACAGGTTTAACTCAAGACTGTGGATATAGGAACTTACAACTATTTAATTAAATAAAAGATTTTATTAATTAAATTTTGACAACCCTAACAGCTACAAATTGATTATATGAAAACAAATGGATATTGGAGGCTAAAATTGTCCAAATGTTTTATTGTGAATCTATTGTGCAAAAGCGTTTAGTGCCGCGACAGAATGGACGTTTTTGCTTTGCCTTTAAACTTATATTGGTTCTTTGACAAGAATGCCATAGGAGCTATAGTTCCGCAAATAAAGTTAAATTTGCCAGTGATTGACAACCCGGACAAAACAACACTCTAAGAGTTTCTTTGTTGCTTTGTTTTTATCCACATTCTCACCTAATAACCACTAACTCCTTTTCCGCCGGAAAGCCTCAAGACAAGGTGTGACAGACCGAAGACCGGACATTGGCAGAATTATTGTGACATTATCACAATACCAAGGGCCATATAGTTATTTAAAAAAAAAAGAGTTTCTTCTCTGACAGCGAAACCCTAAAATGTGTTATCGCACTTGTTGACTTATTCATGACTATGAAACAATAAGTCCTTCTGGCATATTAGTTACATACAACATTTAGTTATTTCTATTAATAAGTATCAATTTTTTTTTAAATGTTCCCAGGTAAATGACGGATATTTCGTCCACTTCTTTGCTCCAACCTCCTTACCACCGTTGAGCAAACATGTTGTGTTCGTTTTGGACACATCGGGTTCTATGAGCGGTCGCAAAATGGATCAACTAAAAGAAGCAATGCAAACAATTCTCAGCAACTTAAACAAAGGGGATGTCTTCAATATAGTACAGTTTGAATCCTCAGTCCAGGTATAATGCTTATAGTAATCGTTGTTATGGTGCGTCTGATCACATGCTTGCGCGCTTGTTAATGTGTGTATTTATTACTGCGTCTTCATTGTTTTATTTTACTATACTTTTTCAGGTCCTTGATATAACATCAGCGTCTGAATCGACTCAGCCTGTAGAACATGAGAATTACTTCTATCGTGAGACTTCATTCGATATACCGCCTTTGCTGCCACCTGTTGAAGCTACGCCAGAGAATATAGCTAAAGCCAAGTTTTTGGTATCAAAATTAACGGCCAGTGGCGGTACGTATTCCTTAATGTTTGTATATTAGTTAAAAATTAGGGTACTCTTAAATTTTTATATTTTATTTTAAAATTAGTATTGTTAATATAAATAAAGTGACTGCATTGTATTCACTCTCGCAGCATCATGTACTCATTTTCTGTCTTTAGGAACAAACATCGGTACTGCTCTAGATGTAGCGATCGCACTCATTCAAAGGATCCCGAAAGCAACTAACTCTGCTATTGATATTACTACACCGAAAAAGGAAGAAACACAAGTCACCTCCAATGACACTAAAGTGTTAGAAACTCAAGATTCTGTTAAGTCTGAAGTAGCTACAGTTAAGGAAACACAGAATGAAGATAAAGATGGTATGTAGATGTTTGTTTTCTTACATTTTATATCTCGAATTTCTAACCTAATGCAACCGCCTTTCTAACTATACCTGTTTAAAGCAAACAACATTCTAACTTTCTCATCGATCATGGGGTAAATATTAACTAATGAAGTTTTCATTTAACTGGATAGAGGTTACCAAAAATATTTCAAGAAATTAATGATTTTTTAAGAAATTAATTGAGATTTTAAGTTACGCAGGCGCCGCATATTTAGATATATTAAATTTCTTAGAAATAAAGAAATAAAAATAACTTCCAGATGAGAAGGAGCCGATTATTATCTTTCTTACTGACGGAGAGCCGACCGTAGGTGAAGGAAATCCGTCGAAAATCATCCGAGTGGTCGCTGAAAAGAATTACGGAAAACGCAAAGCTTCAATTTTCTCGCTAGCTTTTGGTAAGCTTTTAGTTACAGATTTAAATTCATTTTACAAAAACTGCAGCTATATTATGGTTACAGCACGAATTGGTCCCCTCCACCGAAGAAGGACCATGTTCTCACAGAATGTCTAAGTAAATTAGCAGCTTAATGCTGCTGTAATTTGTATGGTTAGTGTAGAGATCCGGAGGCACTCACTGGTAACGAGTCATTCCATCTCAGTCCTCGGAGGTGAGAATGCATCATTTTTAACGAAGCATCCACTTACCAAGTGTAATTTTAATGTAATTTTTAATTAATGCTGCTGTGTATCGTATGGTGAGTGTAGAGAACCGAGGAACCTTTTTACTGGAAACGAGGCATTTCATCTTAGTCCTCCCAGGTGACAACGTATCTGCATTTTGATTATTTATCGTGGATAAATGCAGATGTCTATGGGCCACAGCATCCACTCACCAACAGGTGGGCTGTGTGCTCGTTTGTCATCCATATTCCTTAAAAAAAGATATATTATGCGTCACGTACAGGGTTTCACTTCTTATCGGAACTGTTACCGTTACTGTGCTCTATATCTTGACGTATCGTATAAGTGTATAGAGCTTTTTAATTGGTCTAACACTTCATTATTGTAGTTCATATTATAATAAATATGAAGAATAATCAGCACCATGATGAGAAATTACTTAAGTTCGGGTATGTGCGAAATCTACAAGTATCTAATAAAAATGCTTTCTAATAAAAATTCTATTTTTGAATATCCGCTGTGGATTCATTCTTTTAAAATAAAAAAATGTGAAATGTATGTAATATTTTTGTTTCATCTCTTACTCGTATGAATAAAATTTGAAAAAATTGAACCAACTTTGAATTATCTTTAGATATTTTACTAATTTACCTTCTAAAATTAGCACAGGGAACCATTATTCAATTTTGTATAATTTACATCTATTAATGGTATCAATAGATGAAATTCGTAAGGGTGCAAAATTACTAATTTCTTATGACGTAAAATAGTAAGAGAAAAACGTATATGTAAGATAAATCAAAATTTTTACCATATTTAATTCCGTTTAGGTGAAGATGCCGACCGATCTTTTCTACGCAAGTTATCTCTGAAGAACGACGGCTTCATGAGGCACATTTACGAAGCGTCCGACGCTTCGCTACAGTTGAGAGACTTTTACAGACAGATTTCTTCTCCGCTCCTTGCCGACGTTAAATTCGTTTACCCGCCTGAGCAGGTCAGCACTTTACTTACAAATAATTTATTAGTTAATGGGCACGATTAGATGAATTATTGTACACAAATCGATTTAAAAAAATGTTACCCCACGCTAGGATTTTCTCTCGTATTGCACAGCGACAAACTTACCGGGATAATTATTAACATAACGGAACATACAAACATACCTAAACCTGGACATGTAATATGCAGTGGAGTTCATTAATTAGTTCGAATCTGAGATAACATAACATTGTTAATTAGAACCAAACGGTTTGCTTCGTTTTTTGTGATACGTACAGCAAAAGAGTGGAATAATTTGCCGGCATCTATCTTTCCGTTCGAATACAATCTGGGCGTCTTCAACACAAGAATGAATAATAAATAATAATGGCTTTTGTTACGCTAAGACAGTACCATGTACCATCTTGGGCTACATCTCCACTTATCACCAGGTGAGATTGTGGTCATGCATTGGATTATAATAAGTAAAAAAAAAACAAAACGCTTAGTCGAACCAAACTTGGTAATTTATGTCTGTGTGCATCTTCGTAGCTCTGGCATTTGACTTTTTAATTTAAACTACATTTTTTGCAATAACTATGTATCTTGTTTAGGTCTATGAAAATCCTCAATTAATTTAAATGTGATTATTTTGATTTAGCTAATGTTGTAAACATTTAAATACGTTTAAATTGCATCCGTTTCAACACGCACGCTTAAACGAGACGGATCTTATACGAGAGAGAGAGTTTAGGAATGAATTAACTTATAATAGCGTTTAATTATAAATAGGTGAAAGAAGGTTCACTCACGAAGCACAAGTTCCGTAGATTCTACGCAGGCTCTGAGACCATAGTCGCAGGTCGTGTCGCAGAAAACATTGATGAACTGGCGCCTCATATATACGGCGTTTGTGGAGTTGGCTTAGACGACGTCGGCAGAGTAAGTATTAAAATAAAATTTATTTAGTATAAGCATCACTTATCCAATATTCTGTTTTATTTATAATGCATGCAAGAACTGTGGTGGCTCAGGAGGTAAACTTTAGCTGTAAATTTCACAGTTCGCGAGCAACCCGGCTTCGATCTTCGCTCGATTGGTTGGTACCAATGAAATTATTATTTGAAATTTTAAGTGATGATAATTTACCACGTACAAGGTCAATGAAATAGCGTGAGGAGAAATAAGAATAAAATATAATGTTTCAAAGACGTGAAGTTCGCCAAAACACATTTGTGGAGTTTTACGAGGGTACCGGGCAGCTACTGAGAATTTCTTGACGAGAAAATTCAATAATTGATTTTTGGCACGTCCCGGGATTCAAACTCAGGACCTCATGATCAGCAGTCGCACTACTGCAACCACTAGACCAACAAGGCAGTCAGTTAAGTATTAATGGACTAAACACCAGAGCGACTTTGTCTCATTATGACATTTATATACTATAAAACTCAACAATTTGTGTTTTATCAGATATATTAGATTCTCGTGGCATAAGAATCGGTACTCTGATTATCTAATTATATCATTCCTACAATGTGGGAGGTCCGTGTCCAGCAATGTGTAACAGATTGCAAAAATATTGTTCATTGATAACTTCCCATTTGAGAAAATTTGGGTTGATGATGGGCTTGTTGTGTTTTAGCTATTAGGTTCCCATTTCTAAATAAAATAATATTATATAAATGTTACAGAAGCGTTACGACATAACCACGAATACGCCAGTGTCGCGCGACCGCGACAATTATCTACCTCTAGAGCGGCTGTGGGCCTACCTCACCATCCAGCAGCTACTCGACGAGCGCCACATCACCGACCTCAGCGACGACGACGAAAAAAGTCCTGCCAAGAAGGCCCTCGCTCTTGCTCTGAAGGTATTCATCCCTTTTCTAACAAGAAAGTATAATTTGCTGTGCGTTGCTAATCTAGTAGACATGTGCCAATCATTAATGATTCGTTCGTTTGAGCCGGTACACTTAAAGGTATTGATGGTTCATTCATCTGTTTTTGAATGTTCCGGTACAACCAGTCACAAACAATTGACGGAACCTTTATAACTCATGATTGGTGCGAATTGTGGATGAGTCGAAACCCGACCGAATCCCGAACGAGCTGAATGAATAATTTTTAGTGTAGAGTACTGTAGCCCGAAATGATTCTTTTGAATGATCGAACCGAATGTACCGGTACGCGTGACTAAATGTAGTAGAATGATTACGTCACGAGAAATGAATAATTGACACATGTCTATAATCTAAAACTTTGTTCTTCTTTTTAAGCCTTCACTGAGGAGTGAAAAATTAATAATTTTAACGGACGTCGAACACCTCAGTCCTCCCGTGACCAAGAGTGCTGTTAAGTGTTCGAAACGTCGGGAATATAAACTAAGTTAATATACGCGATAAAACCCGTTAAAACTAGTTTCCGTCCGTTAAAATGTGTAGTGTAGTTATCACGTAAATATAGAAAATCGTTTTTTTTTTAATTTTTACTGAAGCAACGTTTTTATTCAAAATTTTCTTTAACTATTTAAGTACGAGTTCGTGACGCCGCTGACGTCGCTGGTGGTGGTGAAACCTAACGCTACGAGTGCTGTGGATGCGGAATCTGTAGATAAAGGTGATTGATTCATACAAATTATATATTTACCCTGTCATTCATAGTGAAAAACAAAGTGAAAAGTGGTAATAGTTCACGGCTGGTCATGTTCAATCTACAAATCCAGATGTAACAATCAATTAACAAACAATCAATTATCAATATAATATATAGAATCAAATTGCAGATCCGTTACCACCCCTGAGGACTAAGACGGAACCCTCGTCTCCAGTAAAAAGAGTCTCCGGTTCTCAACACTTACCATACGAAACACAGCTGCATTAAGCTCTTATTCTGTGAGGGCATGGTCCTATCCCGATCGAGCCGACCCATTTGTGCTACAACCATAACATAGCTACAGCGTGGCTCTACCACATAAAGATATAGCGGACACAGCGTCTGCAAGATAGCAGCATAACTTTTATGTCAGCCGAAAAGTACGCAAAGTGGCGACGGGTAGAAGCGTCAAGTGTGAGACGTCTGGTATTGTGATCGTATGCCCGTCTGCCAAGCGTCATGATAAAGAAAAGTCTTCCCCACAACGGTGAAGGCCCACGCCCAGCAGTGGACTTTTATAGACTGATAAAGAGAGAATTAAAAGATTAAGGGAACATCCCATTTTAAATTTCATAAAAGTACTTATACAAGTAACACGTCAAATGTAGTCTCAACGAAAACAATGCGTTATCGGCGGACGCCGCGGTAAGTGAAAGTTTAGTCCCATGAAAGGGGGGATAATTCCCAGAGGAGAAAATTCTAGTAGTAAAGAAAAAGTAATAACTAATTCTTAACTCGGGGTAGGAAAAATGCGCGCGATCTGCGTGCTTACTGTGATGAAAAAAACGCAAGTGTAAAAATAAAATCAATTTCCTTTGTTTGATTTCAGAGGCAGACACTCCATCCTGTAAGTAACTTTTATTCTTTAATTTTTCGGAGTTTTTGACAAAATTTTTAGATCAATAGAATAAAAAGTAAAAACTCTTTTACCATTCGATATAAATAGAAAATAAATAATTAGCTTCAACCTGCTAACATACACATAATAAGAAATTTCATATTAAAATTTAAAAAAAATTACTGTTGTATTTTCAGATTCAGGTTTCGCTCCCATACAACGACCTATCGCCGGTTAGTTATTTTTATATTTTTAATTGTTATAAAATTGTTTTAGATGGATATTTAAATAGTCTAAAACATAGCTAAATGTTTCATCATCATCATTATTGTTATTATCGAATAAACTGGTATTGTATAGGTCACAATCAATTTCACATCTCTGTCCAACTAATGATGAACTTCCCGAAGAGAAGTTCATCATTAGTTGGACAGAGTCACATGTAGTGGCAATGTAAGAATATTTACTAGCTCACATCATCCAGTGGGTGCCGTGAGATGCAACCGTGGGAACAAACCAGTTGATCAGCAGAAGCGTCTTCCTTATAAAAAAAATATTGTGTTGCCAACCCGCCAGCCAAGCATGACGACTATGGCATATATCCCCCTTATGAGACTAGGCTATACATAGCATTGGACTTTTAATAGGCTGCAAGGATTTTGGTCATTTCCAAGTTGAATTGCCGTCTCTTATTTGAGCAAATGAAGCGTATTGATTTTAAAGTCGAAAAAAGAGTATATGTATAAAAAAAAAAACTAAATTAAAACTTTTTTTATATTGAATAGAAATGACAAACGAGCACACAGTCCATCGATGGTAAGTGTCTGTTGTGATCCACAGACATCTTCATCTATCCTCGATTAAGAAATAAAATGCAGATGCATTGTCACCCGTTGGCATCAAGGAATAAAATGGAATGTGTCGATTTAAGTAAAAAGGGTCTCCAGACCTCTAACTCTACACTCACCTACATACGAAACACAGCATCATAAAAGTGCTATTTAAAACACTAGGAGTTTTTGAGAGCGTAATATTTTCCTGGTCGAGCCGACTCTTTCGTGCTGCAACTATAATATTGTTGCAGCATGACTCCTCTACCACGCTTAGTTTAGTAACAGTCTCCTTTCTCACAAGACTGTGGATTTATTAATCCACCGCGCCGACCAATCCCAGTTGGCAGATTTCACATCTCTCCGAAATATTTTATCCGGTTTGATGCTATCAGTTAATACGTTAAATTACGTACAAACTTATTTCATTTTTTTAAATTGAATATATTACTTAGTGATATTACTACTTTAGCGTACTCTGTTGCTCTCATCAAGGGGTCTCAAAAAGGAGTTTATTTTTGAATAACTCATTGCGCTCAAGTAATAAATCTGAGGGTTGCGTGGGATATGTGATATAGGAATTAGAAATTCAGTCTCTACCTACGGGACGTTTTCGCAGTTCGAAGAAAACACATTAACGGAAGCTGACCGGCCGAATTTAAAAAATAGTGATTCGGCGACTATAGCACGGAGGAAGTTTTGCAGCCATCGTGGTTTGCATAATTTAAACGAGGCGTCAAGTATTTCCCTTATTCTGAAATGTATTAAAAAGTTTGAGGAGAGCGGTTCAACATCGGAAAAATGAAAATCCGGGCGACCAAGGTCATTAAGAAGGGACGAATCTGTAGAGCACATAATCCAATTGATATATTGGTTATATAATATGTGGTAGAACCACGCTGCAATTATATTAGTAGTATACTTGTAGCACGAATGGGTCGGCTCGACCGGGGAAGGACCACGCTCTCACAGAATACCAGCGTTAAATAGTAGCTTAATGTTTCGTATGGTGAGTGTAGAGAACCGGAGACCCATTTTACTGGCAACCAGGCATTTCGTTTATTCATTTAATTATCGCTTCATAATCCTCTCAGAAATGAAAGAAAGAAAGGCCTATGCCCTTCAGTGGAACGTGTAAAGTCTGTAATTCACCTTTTTTAACTATAATAATATAATAAAATTAAAATAAACGTCAATTATTATAGTCTTCGTATTTTTTGATGAATACTATTTTGTTTTGTTTTGTAGCTCAATCGGGCGCGTTCAGTGGTGTGCCAGGATACCCCGGAAGTAAGCATTCTTTTTAATATACGTAACAGTAGTGTGTTTCTTCCAGTTCTGGCTCACGAGCCAGAACTGGCACTAACCAACTCTCGTGCCCTGCCGGTGGGACGACGGATCCTAAAAAGAAGGGAAGGGTTTTGGCGTGCTCTGATTACGTATCTGCGGTCCTTTTTGGCGTAGGATGCGCGGTTCCGGAGATGTACAGATCTATTAACAAATATTTAATTGATATCTGGTGAGCCTGCACCCTCATTAGTGTTTCCATAGTTTCCAACCTATCCTCTTATATATCGTTTCTTGAAGACCGTCATTACTGCTTCTTATCAACTCGTTGTAAACCCTGCTTAGTCCTATTGTATTATATTTCTTTGTTTAACTACCACGCTATTCTGAATCACTAATAAAACATTCCTTAATTTTGTTACAATTTTTATTTCCAAAATTTTATTACTTATCATTTATAAATAGGAGCGAAACATCTTATCCACTAAAATATCTTTGTACAGTGTGTCCCCTGTAAATAGGCTCGTAAAACTATGCATTGAATATAGCAAATACATTATAGCAATATTCACCACAAATTGAAGTCCACACACATTCTGAATCCTATCAACATTTCAGTCCCACCTTTTACCTTTAGTCCACCTAATTTATTTTTAAAAACTCTAGATAATATCGTGTAGGTGATCGTCAGTATGAATTAACATATTGACCGATGCCATTCGTTTATATAAAGCTATCCAATTTGTGCCCGGTTTATCATCTGTATCCAAATTGCATATTATACAACGTATGGCTACAATGGTGACTTTAATTTAACACACGGGTAGGGCTAGTGACCATTAATCATATTCATTTTGATAAGTTAAAATTACTCGTAAATTGAAAAATTATTTTTTAAACAAACTATACATTAAAAAAGTAACTAAAATTGGGATCACCCTTGCGAAAATTCATTCATGAAAAATTTTACCTAGCTGGCAACGCAGCGTTTAGCGGGCTGGCCGGGCAACCACGCAAAGTGTCTTGTTTATCAAAGAAACTTAGCGGCATCGGCGTGGCGGCGCGCGTCGTAAGTGGTACCTACAGCGGAGACGATTAGTCAAACACGTATCATATCACACTCTCGTGTTACTATTTGTTAACTGTCATCACTAATCACTGCTTTAATTTGTCTTTATTTTAAATTTTCTTGTTTTCAATAAGACCACCTTGTTGGCAGATACAAGGAACTACTAAACGGTGTTTCATGTTTTTCCGCACATTTGAAAATAAATTGTCACTTATAGCCTTTTCCCTCAATTTCTCAAACGCATTTATTTTTCGATGGCGTAATTGTTCCACCGAATCCACGTTCTCCGCGTATACATCCTTTTTGATGCATCACCAGAAAAAAAATTGAGTGGCGTGAGGTCTGGCGATCTTGCTGGCCACCTACGAGGTCCACATCTACCAATCCATTGTGCACCAAACGTGTCATTTAGCCACTGCCTGGCTGTTGTTACAGAGTGTGCAGGCGCGCCATCAAATTGGTACCACATTCGTTGGTATCGATGGACGTTTAGGTTGTTTATGTATTCTGACACCGTATTATTTAATAGGTTAACAAACCTTTCGCCGTTCAAAGCCCCATCAATTAATACGGGTCCGATGATGTTGTCACTATGAATAGCTGCCCAAACATTTACCAAAAATTTGTACTGATGGGCTGACTCCCGCCAAACGCGCGGATTTTGGTTTTTTGGTGCCCAATGGTGCAGATTGTGCTGGTTCCACATGCCATTTCTGGTGAATGTGCTTTCGTCAGTCCAACAAATTTGGGAAAGAAAGTCGCTGTCCTCTTCAATTTTTCTCAGTAACCACTGACAATAATTAATTCTTATTATTTTATCACGCGATAGCAGAGTATGTACTTTCTAAACTTGAATGGGTGCCACTTTTAGCGCTTTAATATCCTATGGACGGTTCTGTGATGGACTTGAAAATGCCTAGCACTCTGGCCGAGGCTAGTTTTGGGTTGGTCTTCGAAGTGTTGTATCACATTTTCAGTTTGGATTGGGTATTGTCGTGTGGGCGGTCGATCAGGGCGTTGATACCTAGGATCCACTGGCCGGTTTTCGCGGATGCCCTGAAGAGATCGCAGAACTCACGTAGGTGCGAAAATATGGTCTGTCGATCATAGTCAGAATAGGTATTTCACCTAAGGAACCTAATTAATATTTCGCCATTGTGTTATACAAGACTAGAGGAGCAAACCACATTGCCGCGCGTCGAACAAAGTGTAACCACTATCCAAATGCGACGACGTAGCTTTGAAATCATTAAAATTTTTAAGTAAACATATATCTGTCTCACTTACACAAGTCGCGGAAAACAATATCGTCCCTAAGATTAGATAAAGATAGACACACAAACATGCAGTAGCGGGTTGGTGTTGCATACTTTATGAAATTTTACCCAAAATGAGCAATATAAACTCTGATTTTTCATTCCGTAGAATTCTGACAGCTATCATTTTTTGACATGTCAGAGATTACAAACCTTTTTGGCCGGGCACATTTTTCAATTTCAATACGTGTCTGAACATCTGAGTCTATACATACATTTTATTTGTTAGTAAATGTATCCATTTTATTAAGTGCGGTACTCTACATGGTTTTACGGCGAGTGATAATTACGTCCCTTTTCATTACAAACAGTAAAAAATGCACAAGTAAAAATAACATATTTTTATTAAAATCTTTAGTCATCATTAATACTTATATCACTATCTTCATCATCGTCATCATCGCTGACATGAATTATTAAAGAGTCTGCGACTGTGTCAATGAAATCGTCGAGAGTGCACATCTTATCTTCTTCTTTGATTGTATGGCTGATACATTCTTGCCATTTATCAGGAGTAATACTACTTATACTTTCCAGTAATAGTTTTTTAACTTCCGCCATTTTAAAACTTCTGTTGTGTCTTGCGACATGCCCCTTCACTTGAGCCCACACCAATTCAATAGGGTTGAGCTCACAATGATATGGGGGCAGTCTAAGCACAGTAATGCCTTGTGCTGTGGCCATCTCGTCTACAATACACTGTTGATATTTGTATTTCTCCTGACCCACAATTTCCAATAAATTAACTTTTAGCATTTTTTCTTCAAAATTTAAATTTTTTGAAGTCAACCACGCTTGGATATCGCCTTTTCTCCATGCACTCGTTGGTACTTTTTCGACCTTCCTCGAATGATAGGGAGCATTATCCAACACTACTACCGAGTTTGGTTTTAATTTTGGAAGTATTTTTGTGAACCACTCCTCAAATACTTCCCCAGTCATCTCCTTGTGGTAATCTGCCAAGCCTTTTTTTGCCTCAAAAACTAATAAACCATCTTCCAAAAATCCTTCTTCGCTCCCTATATGGCTAACTATAAGTCGCCCCCCCTTTGCCTGTTGGTGCCTTAAGCCCTGTTGTCAAGCCATCGAGGAAAGCTTGTCGTGAAGATTGAATGTTGGTATCACACCACACTTTATTGACGGTATGTCCTGAAAATAAAAATATATTTAATATTTCACTTATACATGAGGACAGTTATATATGCATATAAATTGAAAAATATTACCTGTAAACATGGATTTCTTTATTTATTTATTCATTTTGGTAACAAAAATTTATTAACAAAGTTAATTTAAGTATTACATAAGTACAGAATTCGATTTCCGACTAATACTTTGAAGAAAAGATAGGTTATAAAAAAGTTAATTACCACATAATTCAATACTTGCCTTCGTTTACCCACGTTTCATCCTGGTAATATATAAGCCTGCCTTCTCTTCTATATTGTTTAATTTGGTGCAAGTATTTTTTGACGCCATAGTACTATCTCCTTGCGATCTGTTAGCGCACTTCGACGTTTGCGACTTGTGTATTTAAAATTTAAATGCTTCAATACTTTTCTTAATGTTGATTTCGACATAACAGGCATGTCTGGATCACCAGTTATCTCTTGGTGAATCTGAAATAAGCATTTACATTACAGTTAAAATGTAGACAGGCAACACAGGTTAAAGTATAGTTTTAAAACAATGGGGGATGTCAGCAACGAGGTGTTAAAGAATTAGCAATAACTTTACCTTTTCAATAGTCGGAATCTCGTTCCTGTAGAAAAACGCGTGAACCTTTCGTCGAGTTGCGGCGAAAGTGAATTCGTCAAATTTTTGTATGAAAGATAGTTGAGGTCCACTCTTTTTCGGCTTTTGAAATTCTTTTGTGTCTTTATATTCTTTGGTAATTTTATAGACACTTGACAGACCCACGCCAGTCATCTCAGAAGTCTTTTTAGCACATTCCGTTGCACTCCAATCAGTTGTTTGCGGCCAATTTTCTATATTATATTTGTAAATATTTAGAATTATGGTCTTTTCGTTGGGCGTAAAAGCACCACGAGGACGCTTCTTTCTGGGAGAAAGAAAGTCTAAGCCTTGTGCTCTGTCAGATGGGGCTGCTTCCCGGGAAGGGCCAGGTTGTGGCTCCATAACGTTTATAAAAATCAACAAACGATCACAAAACGAAAGGTCAACAAGAAAAAACTTAACAGAATAACAGAAACTTAACAAATATAACAAGATAATAACAACAAATAGCAGCAAACACCGAGAACACATGCGCATTCGAGCATTCAAAGAAGTCGAATGAAAATCAATCAATGTGACAGACGCGACGTGACAGCTAACATTTTTTTAAAAGGTTTTTTAAACCTGGAATTAGTAGACAGTGATGCCAGCTAAAGAATAAAATATTAAGTAATTAAAGTTAATTAGATATATTGTTCGTGATATTGAAATATTTGTTATTTTTGTATTAGGTGACTTGTATAAGTAAATATTTAGATTTACCTTTTTTGTAGGTGAAACATAAAAAATACGTAGCATTTTATTATTTATTGCCCTCAAATGGTTCAAATTTGTCTCTTTTTCGGTGGAGAACTTTTTTAGTAGCAACACTTACGAAATGTCAGAATTCTACGGAATGAAAAATCAGAGTTTAAAGGAGTTTTTTTTTAAAGTTGCAGTAAATTGTTTTTATTTTAAATTTGTATATTTTCTTATTAGATGAACAGAAGTAAGCATAAGTAATGAAATAAAATATGTTTTTATATATTATTTTTATTGTACTAATAAATCAAACAAAAAATAAAGCAAATAAAAAAAACAATTTTAGGTTTCATAAGCGAGATCTGTGTTGAATATGCATAAGTTGTGAAATCATCACCAAGTTTTTGTCTCTTAAATTTAGTCTCATGACATTAGCTACAAAAACTTTGGTTATCAATAAATTTCGTTGATTTTCTTGTTTATAGAATTTCTAAACTACTTAACAACTTTAAAAAGTTTTTATATTTTTTTTGCAACAATACTGAGGATAGTTAATGGATTCAGGCGTGACTCTGCGGAAGTCTATTTGTAAGATAATATAAATGGTTTTAATCTGTAATACTAATCCGCTTACATATTCATAATAGTCCATGCTCTCAAACTCCGCTATGAAGCATCAGTTTGTTATATAATTGCCTTTTTGGATTCTTTTTTTGTGTGTTTGAGTGTATAATTTACTTTCGTGGTACAATCTTATTTTTAAGTACTTATAAATAATGGCATTAATCAATAAAAGGGAATGATCAACTTGTATTGAAGATAAATGATTCCCCCGGGTGTATTATATACATCCACCCACTTCTTACGGCGTGCTGCATCTTTAGGTACACTGCAAATTTATTAATATAATATAAAATAATAAAATATAATTAATAGACCATTCATGAATAAACTAAAATAAGAATAATTATTTTGTATAAAGGTTGAAACATAGTTTTTATTTTTAAGCAATCAATTTTACTTGTTTATTTTAAAACAAAATTAACTTATTCCATAAATTATACAGTCTCCCATTAATGTGGAAAAATCACAAAGGCGGAAAAGTGGCAACATTGAACCTAAATTGCAATATTCGATATTTTATTTAATTTTTTAGTGTTTTAAACGTTAATATGAATATATAAATTAAAACTTACGTATGGAAAGTGATTCCGCTTGATTTATTATGTTTTTGTGACCTTGAAACGCATTCTTTCACTACGCATTTACCCATTTTTTGTTGTGAATCGTTCGGCTTAACTCGGACGGCGTCACCTTGAACACTGAACCGACGTTCGCTGAGTATAAGGCTGTGGCCTTATGTGAAGTGACAACGCTTTGGCGCGGAAATTACTTATCTAGTGTAACATATAAATCAATGTATTTCGCAATGTATTTTGTTACTTTTTATTGACATCCCTCCATAACAACGGAAAGTCCACCGTAACGTAGGAAGAGGAAAATTTGCAAAGTAATACGGACACTCTCGCGCAGCGATAAAATTTTATTTAGCTTGCGAGCGCGATTCATCTAATTAATAATAATCATGTAGGCTATTAAATGTCGGCAAGCAGTCAACATTAAAAGAGTGAAACTTCTGTACGTAGTACTATTATTTATTCTGTGCTAGTACTAGAAAAGCAAAAAAAGAATTCGATATCAGTGCGGCGGGATGCGGGGGAGGAGCAGGTGTCTCCCGCACCGACCGCTCGCTGACAAATCTTCTTTCCTTCAATAGTATTGCTTACTCGTTTTAATTTCGATGATGCAATGTTATGATCCGTGACCCCGACAAATGACCGGTGCACGACAGTTCTTTAAGTACAGGTTGCTCTAACATGCTATTTTCTAAAATTTTCAATAAATCCGTAAATAATAACGTTTAATGGAAATACAATTTCGTCATGAAATGAAAGTGTGAAAACGTATATGTGTGTTAAATTACAGTCGCCATTGTAGCCCGACGTTGTATACGTTGGTACGTGGGTGTACATGGGCGGTCTGTTAGCAGCGTAAACATTATTTTCTAGACTGGGATGAATCTTTTTCAGATGTTGTTGTACATCTAGTGTATCCATGATATTACTATTATTAGTTTTTTACATTACCAATCTATTCAATGGTTAACATAGGAATGATAAACTATAGTGATTTGTAAATATTAAATTCTTTTATGATAATTTGTAGGAGTCATCGTACAACGTACGTCAAATCGTACTTCTAATCTTAAGCTACCATGCTTTAAGATTCCAATGAGTTGATGGCTTAGCTGATAAATCAGGAGTTAAGTCAAATGCTAATAGACAGTAACCTTTAGCATAATGTTCACAAGAGATTCCATTTCCTTCATTAAGAAAGTGAATACCAGTTCCCGAGAATAGAGTATGATGTGCTGATGTAAATATACTAATATTAAAAGATAGTTGAAGGGCTTTTGAAGGTATTTGTAGTGATAGACAGTTAAAATGTTAAAATTTATTGAAAAACGATATAAGACAATGTATACCTAAATTATGATCGAAATTTGTGTTTATTTTACTTACTTAAACTGTGTTTCAACCATCGCACAGTGATTATAAAACTCATAATCATATGATGAATCGAACAGTTCACGCTTCTCCATTTCATCACAAACTTTAGACAACTCCTGATTTAATTCGCTGTTGAATGGTTTCATATTTTCTTCAGGAGTAAGTAACAGTTCAGTGTTTGACACCCAATTTCAAATAATGTACGATATTTATAGTCTAGCAAAGGATTAGACATAGAATATAATGAGTACACAGAAATAATTCAAGTAAACAGGATCACATTCACTAATGATCAGCTAATGACTGTCATTGTTAAAAAAGTATTTTTTAACTCTTTCACTTTCTGCTATTGTCTTTGTAATATTGTATACGAGGGCGTTTGTGTCGTCGTAGATGCTATCTATCCTTATTAGTCTACATAATATTTAATCCTCGTGGAAGCATGTTTCCAATGATCAGTAGTTGGAATTTGGATAGCTTCTTCATATCGTACATTTCAATTTAATGAGATGCGTCGCTTGGTCTCCGTCGTCAGAATTAGTAGAAATATATGATACACCATCTCTAGCGGCTCGTGCTACGGTTGACATAGCATTTGGTAGCTCTTTTTTATTTCTGATTGAGATTCAAAAAATGATCAATCGATTGCGATTTTCTATTTCCACCAACGCATCTGTTGTTATTCTTGACGATGTCATCACTCTCTTCTTGAGGGTAGAGTGTAGTAATACTGTTTATAGGTATTTACATCGAAGCTGAATGATTTCTGCAACAAAACAATTATCAAGTTAGTATTCAATTTGCACCTAATCACAACACACACACACACACACACACGCACGCACGCACGCACGCACGCACGCACGCACGCACGCACGCACGCACGCACGCACGCACGCACGCACGCACGCACGCACGCACGCACGCACGCACGCACGCACGCACGCACGCGCGTAAGAAAACAACAGAAAGAAAAGTAAGTTTGTCAACAGAATAAACACTTACGTCCATGACAATTGATGGGTTGAAGTAACACAAACGTAGTATTGATATATTCACTGCGGTCAAACGACAATACTAAAAATGGAGGCAGGGTTTACAATGAGTAGATAAGAAGCGGTAATGACGGTCGTCAAGAAACAAGAAGAAAAAGAAAAGAAAAAAGTGAAAAGGTTTGTAACAATGGAAACACTAATGAGGGTGCAGGCGAACCAGATATCAATTAGATATTAGTTAATTGATCTGCACATCTCCGGAACCACGCATCCTACGCAAAAAACGTCCGCAAATTCGTAATCAGAGCATGCCAAAAGTCTTTCTTTTTTTTAGGATCTGTTGACCCACTGGCAGGCCACGAGAGCTGGTTTGTTCCTGTTCTGATTCAAGAGCCAGAACTGGTTTATAAGCAAAGGGGGTTCTCTAACTTTTCATTGTGCAATATGATTAATGTGGGTTTTATCATATTCATTTCACCTATTTAAATTTTAAACACATTTGGGTATAACACATCTACTACAATTTATTCTGTCTCTGACATTTCCTTCTAACGTCATGTTCCTCATTTTTACTGGGTGTTTAATATATGTATATACATTAAGCATCAATTCATTAAATCGGTTGAAATTTCTTTTGATTAATGCTATAGTAGGTAAATAGAAAAGTTTGTTGCGCATTTGTATAAGAATTAAAAGAAACGCAGTGAATATGTAATAAACATACTTAAGGAATTCCCGTTATCGTAGGCTCATATCCAATAGCGCTCAGTGGTCTTCCTGCACCACCAACAGCACTTTACGCTGCTTACGAAGAGGCCGATCTTGAAGAAGATTATGGTGAGAAATAAAAATATCTCAAAAGCTTTTTTACGTAATTATGTAATTAATCTGAAGTTTTGTTTGCATTTATATTATTTAAATGACAAACTATTAACTTTTATCATTGGCGGCAGCATAAACAGGGTTATAATTTGTAACGCGCTTGTTTTCATCTGGAAGCTTAGTTATCATTTTGGTGGCTAAAGTGCTGGGGCAGTTTTACTTCAGTGTGCTTCCAACAGAACTCGATCCAGCAACTCACGGGTAACTAACTATTTTATGTTCATTTTAAATTGTTATTCACTTAAGAGATGATTTAGTGCACAATTTTCGAAAATATCATTTTTAAGTAGGTATAAACTATTAGTAGAATACTGTCTAACTTTTAAACAAATATTTCGCTCTAGATATTTAAGATTTTCGCTCATAATAATTATATTTATATGCATTATATAAATAGTCATCATATAAAAATTTATATGGAACTCGTGAGCCATAGATGTTTTGAAGTAGGTATGCAATCACATCTAACGAGCAATGTAATGCAGTCTCAGCGACACAGAGATAGTCTCTACAGCTAGATTTCTAAACGCCAACAGATTTTGGCATATTACGTCAATTTTATTTTTCAAGACATCCTTTAGCGGCGCTTCAAATTGGCACAGTCATTTTGTATGGTATAGCCAGTCCAGCGTACTTCTATATATAGAGGTCAGTGGGTTGGCGACATGTGACTTCCGCATGACGGTTGCCCTGCACTTTTCAGGAGAAGCGTTATAAAATGGGTAGAGCCAATAAATTTGACGCATGAGCATTGTTATTTTTTAATACTACCTGTGAGCGTTCCATCTAAGTTTTTTCTAGGAATTCTGGTAATACCCTATATTGTTATACCTTGTTGGATAGCTGACAAAACTTAGATATTTTAAGTAAATCTGCAACATACCCGCCATAGATTTTTTTTAAATATACCTCAAAGAAAAAAATACTTTGTTTATACAAATTTATTTCTTTTTTCAACAATCAATCATCTACGACCCAGATTGTTTATTTACTTAAGATCTTGGTATTTAAAATAATAAAGCAAGTTATCTACTACACAAAAATGATTTTTGAGAAAAACGTAATCATAAAGATAAGATTTTTAAACTTACAACTCGTTACGTAAACAAATTAATTCCTTACAGATATGCCGCAAGCAGTTTATTCGCATAAAGCCGCAAGCTGTAAGAATCTTTATTTGATCAGTTTTCATTCATCACATAAGCTATTTTAAATCCTACCGCTATGCTAATTTAGCATTGACTTATACATTACTAGCGTATAATTTGTATACCGAGAATATGTAAGTAATATTAATAACTAAACATACTCAAAAGTTTGCCTACAATACCTAAGGTTATATTATAATACTATGTCTACCTTAAAAGAAACATGATATCATCATATTTCTTTTAAGGTGGACATAGGTGGACTGTGTGCTCGTTAATCACCGTTATTTAAAAAAAAATTAAAGTAAATTCTGCCATCATTATCGCTTCTGCATCTGCATCCGCTTCTTCTTTTCGCCGCTTTTTTAAAGGTATCTTATTTAACCTCTTTCAGATTTCATGGGGTCAACTGGAACGTATAAGCTCCTATCAAGTAAGGATTTACAATTTATACATAGTGTAATATTATTAAAAATGTATAGTACCTACTGGCGATCCCCTCCGGCTGCGCTCGGTTGATTTCTGGACCTCGACAGCAGCGCCACCTACCGGGTCTAATTGTGAATCTAAGGCATCCAGGCACCCACTCAAACGCGCATAAACAATTTACAACGTCAAAATCTGTTTTTGTCTGTTAAGTTTTCGAGTTTCATCGAGACTAATGGACAGTAATGGATTTTTATTTCTAGACATTAGTATGCTCATAATTCTACTTCTTCATCATCCCATAAAAGGCCACTGCTGAACATGGGCCTCTCCAGTTGTAGGGAAGATGCGCCTCAAGCGTCACGCTTGCCAGGCGGATTCGGTTTAAAAATTGTTGACGAACGAAGTAATAATGATTATAATATAGCCATTTATTTCCGAACTTTGGGGTTCCACATTATTCTGTTGGAGTTGCTATTGTTGCGCGCCTAAGTTGACGTCATGTACCCGGCACTAGCGCCATCTAGTGTCGGGGACGAGAGCGAGGAGGGCTTCCAGAAAATAACATGACTAATCTTTTAACCAACAGCGCCATCTAGTATCTAATTGAAGAACTAAGCTTTCTAGAAGCCCTACACTCGAACTTTCGGCGCCTGGTCGGTTGGCGCACGTATTTACTTGAATATTCTGGTTTCGGTGAAGGTGTATTGAAAGGCTCTGCAGTACGCGATCGGGGCAGTATTGAATTTGGCGAGACAAGCGAAGCTTCGGAGCGAAATAAAGTGAATCAGTGTGGTTAATTATTAGTGTTTTAAGTTTTAATTGGTGTAAAGTGAATTAAAGTGTAAATTTTGGTAATTCAATCGGCAGTTTTTACTGTCACGAATCTCAAGTTCGTAACAATTGGTGTCAGAAGTGGGATAAAATCATGCCGATTTTACCTAAGGAGGAAACGGAGGGTGTCCGTACCCGAAGTCAACGCCAGCAGGAGACGGACCAGAGACGATTTGGTGGTGCAACGCCGCAGATGTCTGAGGACCAGCCACCGGCTGCAGGCCCGTCAGTAGCTCCTCCATCTGCAGCACCTGACTTAGGTGCTCTGATGGTGATGCTGCAGGAGCAGGCTCGCCGACAGGAGGAGCAGGCCCACCGACAGGAGGAACAGGCTCGTTGGTTGAAAGAGCATCAGGAGGAACAGGCTCGCGGACAAGACGAACAGTGCTATGGTGCTATGGCTGTGGGGAAAGGGGCCATCTTCGATCTAGCTGCCCTAAGCGAACTGTAGAAAGGGAAGTTGATCGATCTCGAGAGGGTAGTGCAGCTAACGGCACCGCCTAGCGGTGGCAGGATCATCGTTCCCCTCACGCTAGGGAGGTTGCAGCAGTTACGGTTCGCGACCACAATAAAGGTTACAGCCCTAGGTGCTATGGCTGTGGGGAAAGGGGCCATCTTCGATCCAGCTGCCCTAAGCGAACCCTAGAAAGGGAAGGTGAACGATCTCAGAAGGGAAGTGCGGCTAACATCACCACCCAGCAGTAGCCGGGATACGACTTTACTATCAGAAATCTCAGCGGGAAATCTCATGGCAACGCAGATGCATTGTCAAGAAGACCTTGTCCTGAAGATTGGAAACATTATACTAGGCAAGAGATTAAGGAAGTGGTATCCGTGAGGATGCTTAGGACAGACTACCTCAGCAACGACTGGAAGGACAGCCTACGACATGCACAGCAGGAAGATCCGGACATCAAGCCGATTCTGGAATGGATGATGGCCCGTGCTACCAAGCCTAAGTGGAGCGACGTCTCAGCGATGAGTTCAACCACTAGAAGCTATTGGGCCCAATGGGACAGCTTGCTGATTCAGGATGGAGTCCTGTGCCGTAAATGGGACAGTGGTCGAGGAGACAGCTGTCGTTTGCAAATGGTTGTCCCTATAGCCAAAGTGCCGAATGTTCTACATCTGTGCCATAATGGTCGTTCAAGAGTCCATCTGGGAGTTAAACGAACTCTACTGAAGGTCCGAGAACAGTTTTACTGGGTCCATTATCGTGACGATATCGAGGATTGGTGTCGTACATGTACAAGTTGTGCGGCTGTGAGGGGACCTCAGACACGTAGTAGAGGAGCATCGAAATTGTACAATGTTGGTGCACCATGGGATAGGACAGCCCTTGACATTACGGAGCCGTTACAGAAAGGCGCAAGAGGGACTCCTAGGATCGTCCATATGAATCGCCTGGCGCGTTATTATGGGGCCAATAATGCTCGGGACGAGCATGTCTTAGGAGGGGACAGTGTTGCGCGCCTAAGTTAACGTCATGTACTCGTCACTAGCGCCATCTAGTGTCGGGGACGAGAGCGAGGAAGGCTTCCAGAAAATGACATGACTAATCTTTTAACGAACAGCGCCATCTAGTATCGAATTGAAGAACTAAGCTTTCTAGAAACCCTACACTCGAACTTTCGGCGCCTGGGCGGTTGGCGCGCGTATTTACTTGAATATTCTGGATGTTTCGGTGAAAAATGTGTATTTGTGTAAAGGCTCTGCAATACGCGATCGGGGCAGTATTGAATTTGGCGAGACAAGCGAAGCTTCGGAGCGAAATAAAGTGAATCAGTGTGGTTAATTATTAGTGTTTTAAGTTTTAATTAGTGTAAAGTGAATTAAAGTGTAAATTTTGATAATTCAATCGGCAGTTTTTATTGTCACGAACCTCAAGCTCGTAACACTATTTTAGTACTAGTTTAAGTTAGAGTAAGTGCCTCAGTTCGGTGTGCCTTTTAGCTTAGGCCTCCTCCAACTGCTTTCATTGCGTTCTATCTGCTGCTACCCTTGTCCAGTATAGTCCCAAGGCTAGGTGGATGTCGTCTTCCCATCTTCTGATTGGGCGACCATGTTTTCTGATGCAATCTCTTGGGTACCATAGGTTTACCTGCTTGCTTCATTTATTGGTCTTGCCACGAATCACAAGACCTATCCAGCCCCATTTCAGATGGTCGGTTCGGGCCAGAATGTCAGCAACTTTGGTTTTATTCTTTATTTCCGCGTTGTTAACTCTATCCTTGAGTTTAATTCCTAACATACTTCTATCCATTGCACGCTGGCATTTCGCAAGTTTCTCTCGGTGATTTTGGTTGATGGGCTAACTCTCGCAACCATATGTGATCTAGAAGAGAATACAGGTGTTAAATGTTCTTCAAACTGTTCTTGTTGTTATTTTTTCCAGCTATCCGCAATTGTTATTTTCATTTCCTTAGATGTTTGGTCGCTAGGGACAATTACTTGAGTACCCAAGTACACATACTCTCGCGCATATTCAAGTCTTTTTCCATCTAATTCTATGTCAACTTCTGTAGAGTTGGTCATTAGTTTTGTTTTGAGTTCATTTCGAGACCTACTCCTTTGCTTCTGTTGGCTAGAGTTTGTACCATTATTTGTAGTTTACTTTGTTTTTCTTCCAGTAAGATAATATCATCAGCGAAACTCAAGTGATTTAAAAGGTTGCCATTGATGTTGAGGCCGTATTCATTCCATATTCATTTGATGCGGCTCTTACTAATACCGTAAATGTTTCTTTGTATCTCGATACAGGTATTTTCCACTCCTTGCCATCTTAAAGTCGACTAAATGTAATTATGTTCCAGACTGTCAAATGCTTTAGAATAGTCTATAAAAACAATGTAAACGGGTTTCTGGTATTCCTTACTTTTCCCAATATTTGATCGATAGTGTGAATGTGATCAATTATGCTATAGTTTTTTCTGAAACCTGCCCGCTCTATGGGTTGATTTTCGTCTAAGATTTTTGTAATACTATCTAGCAATACTTTTGCGAACATCTTATAGACGTTTGAGATCAGACTAATTGGTCTATAATTGTCATTGACTTACCTAGGTCCTTTTTTATGCAGGAGAATTATGTGGACTCTCCCCACTGATTTGGGATAACGCCCGAACTGAGTATGTTGTTATATATCCTGGTTAGAATAGGAAGCAGTTCCCCTGTCGTGCCCCTAATGAGCTCGTATGGTAACGTACAAAACGAGCTCATTAGGGTCCGGCCGTGGAGCTCTTTCTAGTTGTTGAGAGTGTATGGCTCTCTATAAGTATGGGCGGGACGTCATATATCTAATTGTTGGCGACTTATTGGTTTCTAATTCATGGTTTTCGTCTGTATTAGAGTAGAGAGCTTTCTAATATTCCGTAGCGAACTTATGAATTTCTGAATAAAAATTAAAACACGTACCTAAATAATCTAAGACTTTGAAAGTCAGGAATACAATTATTTTTTTACCAAATTAAACTCTCTTAAGACGTGGATTGACTCTTGGATTTTCCAAATATTTTTATTTTTCGACGTTTTGGTGATCACAGGTTTGACGTTCGGATATCGTAGAAAGCTCGAGCTACCTTCAGTTTTTATGTATTAACTTAATATTATTTGTTAACCGAACCGAACCGCAGAGTTACAGTATCTTGAAGTTTTGCAGTGGTAAGTGAACTATGCTTGGGATTGGTCTGCACATGATAGCACTCGGCAATCTTCTCCATTGAAATTTAGTTGTTTTTAATTTCAATAGCTTCTCGAATCGTCCTTGATAGGAATCGGTGTTCTTTTGCGAGGATTTATGGTTTATAGAAAAGGTTCAAAATATAGAATAGAATATTTTTTATTCAATATAGATTACAAGTAGTTCTTATTCAATGTAATATTTTACTTTTACCACTGGTTCGGAAAAAATATATCCTGGGATGCACCAGCAAGAAACCCAGCGGGCTTATTTTTTAAAAGTATAATATTATAAAATAATAACACACGTTGTACAAAGTACTTACAAAACTTATTTAAAAAATAACTGTGTAATATGTATGAATAATGTATAACTATATAATAATGTATCAAACATATTATAATAAACCACTTTATACACTTTTTAACATATTTAAATTTGATATTAGAGAAAAAAGACCTTGTATATTTTTTACCGACTTCAAAAGGGAGGACGTATTCAATTAAAAAGTGTGTTGTTTTTTATGTGTGTTACCTCAGAACCTTTTTCTGGGTGAACCGATTTTGATGTTTATTTTTATTCGAAAGCTGGTGCTCCTTGTGTAATCTCATATAAATTTGATAAAGATCTGACAGAGTGAGTTATCCTTAAATTTGGAACCCTTAGATTAGGTCATATTGAAGTCGGTTGTACTATTACCACGTTAGTTATCACAAATGGACTAAGCTAACTAACTAACTTAAATAAATAAAATGTATACAATAAATTTTATTTATTTAAGTTAGTTCATATTTTGTAAAGTGTAAACATAGACCCTTTGAAATTATGGTAAAGGGTATCTTACGGTAGCAGTATAATATTAGTATCTCACCTTATATCATCACCGTCATCATCATCATTACAGCCTAGAGTCGACTGTTGTACATAGTCCTCCTCCGAGGAGCGCCACAAAGCACGGTCTTCAGTTATCTGTATCCGTCGATTTCCTGCATCTCTTACCTGGTTGTCACCTCATGTAGGCCACCCCAACTTTGCTTACCGGTACGAAGCTGCCACTCGAGAACCTTTTCTGTTGTCGGTTTTTCGAGCTATATGGCCGGTTTCACTTCAGCCACTTCAGCTAACTGATCCGTTGGGCCATGTCGGTTGTTCTGGTTCCACTGCGGATATCGTCAATACGAAGTCATGAAAGGCCATAATTGTTTTGATAGGCCCTGATCCCCTGATACTTAAAATGGAATGCTTTAGCCCGTAATTACACGGTGTTAATGCTGCTTGGAAAGAAACAAATAAGGGGGAAATAGCAAATCAGACAACTCTTAGACAGAAAACGAACTCTATCACTTGTACTGTAATTAGTTAACTACGAAATTTGTCCCGAAAACAAACAATTTGTCCTTTTGATCAAATGACTTCGGCTGGAATACTCGTAGGAGCACGGACCCGTGGTGTATAAGTCAGACACTTTGACGATTAGGACACAACTTTTATGTATATTATTTGATATAAGATATTTATAAAAAATATGAAACTATCTATACTTATGTTTTAGATTACGTTGCTTATAACTTATTATGTAAACCAGTTTAATTCTTTACAGGTAGTAGCAAAAATATGCTGCCGCAATCATTTTATTTATATCCAGCCGTTGGTAAGAATCTTTTACTCGATCAATTATCATTCATCACCTAAACCATTTTGAATCCTACCGCTGTGCTCAATTTAAACACCGAGAAGTAAATAAATATCACTAACCAAACAAAAACAAAGATACTCCAAGGATGGCTCTGTCCAAATTGCTTGAATAACAGCTGTATATAGTCGTTTACTTAGACATTAATCGATCGAATTTTTCAGTTTATTGTAAAACAATTTTCACTCAGCGTTTCTGCGTTACTTTATTTTACATTTTACATATTACCTATAATATAAATTTAACTTTGCATTATGTCAAATTTGTTGCGCTGTTTTTATCAGGTGTTTATTTAAATATTCGCTTAATAGGTACTATCATATAAATTGTTAACTACAACATCAAACATAACTAAAACTGAGAAAATACTTAAACTGGACATACACCTAAATTACAAATACTACATAAAAGCTCTTTTCTCTGCGAATCTGTGTACTTTATGATAATTGAAACGTTTCTTATTCTTACAGGTTCCCTACAACTTTTAATCATCACATTTAAAAACTCGAAACTTATAAATGCTGCTGCCAATGATGTTTTCTTTTATATAATTATATACATATTACATATTAAAGCTTTTAATTCTTATAAATCAAACTTATATTATGCTGAATTTTTCTGTTACTTAATAAATTTTCTATCATGTAGGTATAACAGCTTTTACTAGCACGCCTGCGCCGCGGTCTACAACCTTAAGCCCTCTTGAAGCATATCATTTGAGCAGTTACCAATGGGCGGTATCTTTGTTGAACAGCTCCTCTGACTGTATCATACTACAAGCCAACGGGACCCAAGTAAACCTGAAGCTTACGAAAGATTCTGCTGTAAGTTATATATTTCTTTATGTTATGATATTTATGAAAGATGAAAAAAATTAATAAACCAAGTTGCGCGTAATAAAATTAAATGATGTGTTTTATTTTATTATATTGCGGAACTTATCCAATTAATTTTTATCATCTTTTTTATAATGGATTTTCTAAGGAAGGATGGAATGAATAAGGAATAAGGCTCTGGCGACTGACGAAAATCCACAAAATCTGCCAAATTTAATCCCTTGGGTACGGGGTAGCATTACGTACTGTTACCGTAGGGAGTATAGTTACATTTTTGTATATATGCACTTCTCAATTGCCATATTTTAGAATATAATCCATGTCCAACTGTGAACTTCAAATTGCTCATAATGTGATGATAAGGTCGGGGAAAAAGTTTCTTTGTATTTTATATATAAATTCAAGACATTCTTCTTTTCGAAGTTAAATTATTTTTAATTGTAATAAAAAATAATGTGACATTTTGTTTGATATCTTTTTGCCATCTAGTAGATACTGTCATAATCCTAAATAAAGAAATCTTGGGATTTTTTTAAAAAATGCGACAAATGTCGAAAATCAGACAGTACTCTCATGTTGTTAACCTACCACTACCCAAAGAAATATGAAAAGAACGGAAACAGGTAAAATCTGAGGGTGCAAGGACTGGACTATGTGGAGCATGCATTAACACTTCCCAACCAACCTCTAAAAAGAGGAATGCCCACTCTTCATAGACATTTCGGCCATGGGTGCCCACATATAAAAGCATATAGATATGATAATATACAATTAAAGGAATGAAATGGTTAAGAAATTGTTAAGTGGAAGATATAAAAGTTTTTTTTTCACAAATAGTTTTTAATTGTGTTATCGATTTAATTTCTTTGATTTTTACTTTCGGTTTCCAAAGGTGCTGGTGTAGTTAGTGTTAAGGAGTAACTTCGCTTTTTAATATTTTGTGATTACGAGAATCTAAGTGGCAGGTGTGTGGTATGTTATCATGCTGAAAGCCACTCCTATTCTCTTGATCAATTCTGGCCGTTTTCCTCAATTTTTTGCTTGAGTCTCATTATTTGTTGGCATTAGAGATCCGATTCGATGATTTTGTCCAGCGGTAAAAGCTCATAATAAACGATGCCCTACCAATCACACAGCATCACCTTATTGCATGTTAATCCGGGTTTCGCTACAGTCTGTGGAGCTTGGTCACAACAGGAGCCCCTTTGGCCATGATCTTTTTCATACGTTGTTGTCGTAGTTGATCCACTTTTCATCACCTACAATATTTTGTCAAGTGATCAATCTTTTCAAAAAGTGTTCGGTTTCATTACGTTTCAATAGAGAATCGCAAATCAGTACACGATTCATTAAGTTTCTTCAGTGAGCTCGTGTGGTACCCAAATATCGAGCTATTTTGTATAGCCAGACTTTTTCAAATGGTCAAAACTGTTTGTCAATCCTCAATTTCTCGGCTTAGCTACTAATATGCCGATCTTGCTCCTCTCAAAAAGGGCCATCGACTTTATCCGTATGAGGGCGATCAGAGCGAGCAGCATCTTTGACAGCAAAATTCCCGGACTGAAAACGCTTGAGAAAACTCTGTGCTACTCTTACTGACATTGCATTAGATACATAAACGGCACAAATTGTTTTCGCGGCTTGAGACGCATTTTTCCCTTTTTTAATCGACTTAAAAAAATAGGTTCTCAATTCGTTGGAATCTTTTTTTTTTATAAGTGTTCACCGATTACTCGAAGACGCCTGAACCGATTTAGAAAATTATTTTTTGATTCAAAGAGTTTACTTCGCACGGTTTTAAAATATTAACAATAAATATGTTAAAGTCGGTTGAACAAAATTTTTAATTTAACCACTTGTAATAAAACTTCAAAATGTTTCGAATTTATTCGTTAGATTCACTCATTTTAGCGGACAGAAAACAATTTAAAAATGGCGGGAAAAGATTTTTTACTTTTTATTTTTCTTTATATTAATGTCCTTTATGTATTGATATCAAAACCACCTAGATACAGACAGTTCACCAAAGAGAATTTTATTCAATTTTATACAAACGTAATACGAAGAAACTTTTTCCCGTACCTATCAATAGCATTAATCTAAGTTACCAGACGGTCTATATTCTCCCGACATTTTAAATGATCTCCAGACTTCCGACAAATCTCAAAATCTCTAGATAAACAACTTCTCTTCACATCACAGCTGCCTTTGATTTAATAAAAGCTGAGTTAGTAATAAGACTAAACTTTGAATTAAATTGTTTTTTTTTTAAATATAGGATAGGGTGACAAACTAGCACACAGTCCACCTGATGTTAAGTGGTTGCTGCGGCCAATAGACAACTACATCTGTCCTCGATTACAAATCAAAATGCACATGCGTTGTCACCCGTGAGGACTAAGATGGAATGCCTCGTTTCCAGTAAAAAGGGGCTTTGGTTCTCTACACTCACGATATGAAACACAGCAGCATTAAGCTAGATACTATTTTAAGCTGGTATTCTGTGAGAGCGTGGTCCTCTCCCGGTCGAGCCGATCCATTCGTGCTACAACAATACTACTAATATAACTGCAGGATGGCTCTACGTATGAAACTATGAACCGTTGTAAACCGTTTGAATTTTAAATAATTTCTGAATGGTACGTATTAAAAGCTCCAAATTAGTGGACTCAGTAAAGTCCAATGCCAAATACATGTGGTAACCTAAAAACTGAGTGTACTTAAATTAGTTATGTGTTATAATCTTAAGTCTTTTAATACCCTATTAATTTAAAAAAATGAACTTTTTATTTTAAATTTTTTAATAATTATATCTCCCAACAACGATCCCCAAATCCCGATATTTTCCAATTATATCCAGATATTTTTGTCATCCGATCTGGCATTCCTAGGTGCATATTGCACTGTTCGTTTATATATTTTTTAATTTCATTGTATACCCAGTTTTTTTTTCATTTTGTAACAGGCTCCTAAGGTTGAAGGCGGCGACACCGAATGCCCAAGTGCAACTGACAACTCGGCAGGCCTTTGCGTGTACCTGACGCGATGTGAGGCGGCCCGAAGCATCACCGTTGACGTCTACAGTCGCGCCTACTGCGTAGTCAGCGATGGGTACGGTCTTTTTAAATAAAAATATTTACCTCTCCCAGTTTACATACACAAATTGCACAAGTACAAACATTTAGCGCCAAAACGATTACTCTTATTAAATACCTGTAATTAATACATTTACAAGTGTTGCACTAGCAAGTATTTTCGTGTCACTTTCTTTTATAGACTCTTTAAACTATGGTGGAACAGCGTTCTAATCATAATTTATGTTCTTCTAAGCGATTTCAATCAAAGTAAAAAGCTTTTGAACCGTCGGTCAGCTATCAGCTGCTCTAGAAATATATATACAGGTATACGCGCAAGACCAGACATTCCTACTCTTCCAAACCGATCCTCAGACGACTAATAAAGCTACAATTACAAGGCATTCCTTTTAAGTTTTGTCGTTTTACCAAAAAAATACAACTAGAACCTTATAGTACTTTTTATTATTTTCCATTCGCTCGAACCAGTTATAAAAACAATTATTCCGCTCTAAAGTAGGGGGTGTTTATGGCTGTTTTGAAAGTGTCGACTGCTTCTTCACCGGGCTGGAACCTTTGACCACGAAATTTTTTCTTAATTTTAGGAAATGTAAAGAAATTGTTAGGGTAGCAAAGGACTGTACGGAGGATGGTCGAGAATTTATACGTTTTCCTGCTTCAAATACTCAATCGTTTGACCAGCGCTGTGTGAGCTTGCTTTGTCATGGTGTAGAATGATACGTTGCGTTGGTTAGATTTCCGAAGTTCGGCAATGAGTTATGGTAAAGAAACTGTGGTATATTATTCTGCATTAACAGTTCTACGGCTTCAAGTGCAATCGTTGCAACGCAGCCGGTTTTCGCAATTAACGTGGCCACCATTTTCTTTGAAGTGCTTTGAGAGCGAACAACTTTAGTCGGCTTGGGCTCGTTTTGGAAGAACCAAATTGTTGATTGTTGTTTAAAATCTGGATCGTAGGCTTAGATCCCAAATTTGTCACCACTGATTATACCGTTGATGATTACCGACGTGCTTTGACTCTCCTCGGTTGAACCATTGAGGAGTTTTCTTACACCCTCTAACGCAGGTCGCCTTATTATCATCGGAAAGCGAATGCGGGATCCAACGGCAAATTAGTTTCCTCACACCAAGCGCTTCATGCAAGATCTTCTGAATAGTTGTTCCTGATATGCCTAATAACGCCTCTATCTCTCGATATGTCAGATGACGATCTTCGAGATTTAATTTCCTCACAGCAACGATGTTATCTTCAGTGAAGGCTGATTTTGGACGTCCTTTACGAGATTTGTCACTAAGATTGGTACGTCCACGCTGGAATTCTTAATACCAGCGTTCGGAGCTTCATCATGGAACACAGAAGTTAGCTCGTCGAAATACTGAAGCCGTGTTTAGACCTCTTCGAAACTTGTAGAAAATTATTGCATGGATATTTTCCTTAGTACGATTCATTTTCATACGTGACCTGACAGATGAAAAACGACTCTGTGACTAAACAAATAGCATTAATCCCCATACTTTCAATTGTTTTGAGATTCTGACTTTAAACAAATTTGAATATTGAATAGTTCCAAATTCAAAATTGCCGGTAAAATATGTAAACGACAGAACTTAAAAGGCATGAAGGTATCCTAGCTACTAATAAAACCCAAATCCAGTAAAATGATATATTTCTTGCTTAGATTTGAATTGGTATTCTTGGCTCTGGATTTATTTTTATTCTGGATTTAATCACTGAATCCTAAACAGATGTTAGCACCCAGTTATTTTCTCTATTGAAATCAGAAAGAGTTTAGGTTTTTAACATCTAGAGCCATATTTTGTTATTAGGAATTTGTTTTCCTTTCGAATACATGGAGTCTATAAAATCTGATGTAACTATGGTAGAAAACTTGAACTTGTTTGTAGACTTGGTATTTTTACATAATAATATTATAAATAATATTCAACGTAACAAAATGTTTTATTTTCAGTTACGCTGGTGTTTGTTGTCCAAAAAGCGAAGTAGACAAGACGCACTGATGCTCGTATTGCAAGTGAAAATCAAAACTTCTTTACATTTAGACTACATACATTAAATGTTAAGATTTTCTAGATAAAATGCTGTTAGTTCATATCGTGTATATTAAAAATTAAAACTCACAAAACTCACATTTTGTACAGGTATTAAAAATAGTTGAGAATTAATTTTTAGTAGTGCGTTATATCAGCACCACACATTTACAGATTTTTTGAAATACAAAACATATGCGTGCTGACTTAAAAAATAGCAATAATCTTTAATTTTGTAAAACAAACTGTGACAATAAAAAATTTAAAAATAAAAGTGTGTTTTCTTTGTATAGGTATTTAACGTCCCCATACTGTACTGATTATTATCAGACGATTGAAGTGGCAATGGGTTAGCTATAGAGCTGGATGAACCGACAACCAACTAGGATGAAAGGTTCTCGAGTGGCAATTGCGTGCTAGCAAGGGCAGTGTTGAGCAGATTTGTAAACTTGTTATTACTGTGGACAGAAATCCTAATCGGTTGTAGAATATAGTATTTTTTTTAAAAACTTATATTTAGAGACTACTTTTGTATGAAGAAGTTTGGCATTATAAAATCTATACAAAATTCTCTATCCTGTGGTCTAAACCAAAGTCAGGTTTTACTACATTACAAAAAGATTTTATTGTATTTTGATAACAAAAAAAACATACCAAGTGAATGTCGGCAGTGTGAAAATCACAATTATTTCAATACTACCTGTTACCTGCGGCTTCGCCCGCATGGTCACTGAGAAATGAACTATCCATTGCTTTTTGAATTGAAAGAAAACTGAGTTTATTATAGATTTGTCAGAGATGCAGCCATTAACCTTTTGAGCGCCAAAGTCGTCTATACGTGACCAGCACCCGCGGGCCCTGAGTTTTCTATGCTCAAAGGCCCTGAGTGCCAACGACGTCTATAGGTGACAAAAAACCCGTCCCACAAAAAATATGAAATATAGACATTGGAAAATTATTACTGGTATTTTAATTCTACACCCCTCAAAAAAAGAATAACCCAGCAACATGTGAGTATAAAAAACAAGTCTCCTAGAGCCACAAGTACTAAGAAACATTGAACTAAAAAAAATGGATTTTTATCTAAACAAATACTATGTCCAGCACGCCAAAGTCGTCTATGTTTGACCGCTAGTGTTGTAATGCGTTACGTTAGGCATAAATTTATTGAAAACTATTAAAAATTAAGCTCAAACGTGTTTTTTTTTCTATTATTATCGATATTTAAATAAAACAAAAGGTTAGAAATATAAAACTATAATTAGCTACATGAATAAAAAAAATATCAAATTATCTTCGCATAATAAATCTAATATCTCAACTCTGGCGCATCCTTAGCGCGACATCGAAAATCAGTTCACTGGGCGCCGTGGTCAAGTATAGAAGACACGCTGATGACGTCATAAGCGATTAGCGGGAAAATTAGTGCAGTGCAATATGAACGATTCCTCAGAACTCATTCGGATTTTGGAAAACGTCGACGATGATGAATTTTCAGAATCTGAATCATTACCTGAAGATTTAAGTGAGGTAAGTGTCTTAAGTTCCTAATAAATTAAACTTATTTTACTAACATGCATATTGCCTATTTTATGTATCTATTATTTTATAATATTTTGTTTAATTTTAAATATAATAAGTTCGATACAAAATGAAACTGTTTCCCGGGCTACTCTTGTGAGCACATTTTGTATGTTTTTGTTTTCGAGTTTAGAATAACTCATCATGTTCGTTTACTTTTATACTGCAACTAGTAGATATTTTTTTCTGTCAAAAAGCGAATGGTAATATTGTTTAGCGAAATAAATATCTTAAACCATATTTCACCATAATCCTTCCGAAAAGTAGGTACCGTGAGTAGACCATAAATCATAAATCAACCTAATGAAAAAGCATTAAGGTCCAAAATAGTATATCGACTTTCCACCTTTCGGTATTACAATCGTTTTGAATAGTATTGTGAGTAGACTAAAAATCAATGTAATGGTAAAACATTAAGATCAAAAAAGCGTGTTGACTTAGTACTAAATTGCTCTTTTGTTCTCGGCGGCGACGTTCTTTTTTTTGTTACTAACACTCGCGTCTTACAGTAATCAAAGGCTTTCTCACACATAAAATCTACAATGATAATAATTACATACATTTTTCTTCATAACAAGTTTTCTCGTGAATTGTATTTTTTTTTAATCAAAATATTATATTTTTACAGAGACATACATGTATTATGACTGGGGTCTTCATCAACTGGACACTTTAGTTGAGAGAGTTGAGTACGATGACAACCATTTTAAATCACTTATATACACGTTTGGATATCATGCACTTCATCATTATTTTCCAACGTCGGATCATGCAGAACTGAAATATCTTTATCCTACCTTTCTTGAGCACTGCGAGAAATTTGGAGTTGAATATCGAACATCCACATATTATAAATCGTTTATCAGTCATAGTAAGCAATTATTAAGGAAACGCCTCAACAATTTTAAAGAAAGAAAAACTTTGTACGTTAAATAGAAACGCTATAACTTAACGTACAGGAAACACTTCTGACCATACTCTAGTAAATGACTTTGGATGTTATTTTTCGATGACTAATAAATTAGGATTTTGAACTATATACTTTCATTAATGGTATTAAGTTTTGACTAGTAGGTCTAGGGAAAAGGGTCACAGCAGGACTGTAAAAACTACCGTGGTATCAGCCTTCTTAGCATTGTGGGAAAACTGTATGCTAAGGTACTAATTGAAAGAGTTATGAAAGAAACTGATGAAAAAAATTTGGGATGTGCAAGCGGGATTTAGAAAGGAAATGGGGTGTACAGATCAAGTCTTTTCCATGCGCATGATCGCGGAGAAGTTTTTGGCGAAAAACCAAAAAGTTTTTTGTGCGTTCATGGACTTGGAAAAGGCTTATGACAGAGTGGACAGGGATGTGTTATGGCAAACGCTGAACGCATTTAGGTTGAGCGCTGGTTTGATACAGGCATTAAAGTCTCTGTATAGGGACTCGAGTGCTTGTGTTAGAATCAACGGGGTCTACTCGGACTGGTTTGGCATCCATAAAGGTGTCAGACAGGGCTGTGTAGCTTCCCCGTGGCTGTTCAACCTATTTATGGACAGCTGTTTGGAAAATTTGAAAGTTGAAGAATGCGGGTTAAGAATGGGTGAGTTAACCATCAAATGCCTTTTGTACGCCGATGATCAAGTCATACTTGCGTCGTCGGCGGCCGAGTTGCAAATGATGGTTACATTAATGAACATCATCATCATTAAAAGAAAGGGGAATGAAAGTGAACGCAAGTAAGACGAAAGTGATGGTTTTTGAAAGAGATGAAAGCAAAACGGTATGTGAAATAAGAATAGAAGGAGAGTTAATTGAGCAAGTGGATGAGTTCGTATATTTGGGATGTGTATTCAGCAGGGATGGGAGATATGATAAGGACATTGAACGACGAGTGAATGCAGGAAATAAAGTAAATGGGGCTCTACACTCTATTGTGAAAAGTCAGAATGTGTCAAAAAAGGCACGTATGGCAATTCACAGTGCTGTATTAGTCCCTACTTTAACGTATGGTAGTGAAAGTTGGGTGTGGCAGAAGAAGCACGAGAGTAGAATAAATGCAGTAGAAATGCGGTCGCTAAGGAGTATGTTAGGGCTGAATCTGAGTGACAGGGTGAGAAACTGTGTGATAAAAGAAGAGTGTGGTTTGCAAGATGATGCGGTGACCAGGATTAAGAAAGGAATGCTTCGGTGGTTTGGTCATGTAGAAAGAATGAATGCGGAAAGACTGACAAAGCAAATATATGTTGCAGAAGTGAATGGAAGAGTCGGAAAGGGACGTCCTAGGCGGAAGTTTGTCGACCAAATTGGCGATATACTAAAAATGGGCCAAATTAAGAGTACCCTTAACCGACGAGCATGTATGCGTAGGTATATGGATGTGGAAGAGGCGAGAAAGGTATGTCAGGATCGTGCTAAATGGAAGTCTGTAGTCTCTGCCTACCCCTCTGAGTGACAGGCGTGAGTGTTTATGTATGTATGTATGTATGTACTAGTAGGTCTATTGGTAGCGTTTAATTTTGTGAATTAAGAATATAAATTACTATACTCGATTACGAATCAAAATGCAGATGCGCTCTCACCCGTGAGGACTTAGATGGAATGCCTCGTTTCCAGTAAAAAGGGTCTCCGGTTCTCTACACTTACTATACGAAACACAGCAGCATTTAGCTACTATTTGACGCCGGTATTCCGTGAGAGCATGGTTCTTACCCGGTTGAGCCGACCCATTCGTGCTACAACTACTCTCCCGTAATATAACTACAGCATGGCTCTACCACGTTAAAAAATTTGCTTTGGCCAGCTAAACATTTATGTTTTATAAATCCATAAGATTTTTATTATTTTAAGACTAATATTACCTATAATTTATTAATTATTTTTAATTGTTGTTTTCTATATTAAGTACTGATTCAGTTAAAGACCAAGATTTTAATATTTTAGGACTAGACCTAGTGCAAATAATTATATGCAATTGTTGATAAGTGAATAATTATGTACCATTTGTTGATTTCTGTAATAAGTCAGTAAGACCAAGATTTTAATATTATAAGACTGATTTTTCTAGTGCGAATAATTATAGACAATTGTTGATTGGTGGATAATTATGTACCATTTGTTGATTTTTATAATAATTACTGATTTTTTATTCCATGACCAAGATTTTAATATTATAAGACTGATTTTCCTAGTGCGAATAATTACCTATATACAATTGTTGATTAGTGAATAATTATGTACCTTTTTTATTTTAATAATATAAAATTACAAATAATAAATGTGTTTTTTTTACTTAAGGTATGAAGAGCAATTTTTCATTTTGTGTTGTGCGATTTTCTTTCTCAATCTCAAAATCATTTAGCAACATCAGCATCATACTAAACCCCCATTGTCATAAGAGCGTGAC